AAAAATAAATAAAGCTACATTATTAAGCGGACCTACGAGCACGACGCCCAATTAGGTGCCAACCATAGGAATCGTGCCCGTCAAAACAGATGGTGTAGGGAACACTTGACATGGACCCAGGAGCAATTGTCTGACCTCAATACCAGTAAGCACGCCTGGGACATGTTTCAGATACGTGTTCTAGCCAACCCAACAACTGAAACACTTGTAAAAATCCATTGGCAGGGATCAGATAAACAATCTTATAATTTTAATGAAAAATCGCTGCCGACAAGTTTTAAACTCAGTATTTAATTACCAAATAATAATAATAAAAATTACACATGTTGTTAATTATTGTGATTAAATAAACAATGGAATAAAGGATTTTGTTGCTTTGGTCACTAATGCATGAAATAATAGTTAGTCATTATTTATAAAAGAAATATAAATATATTGCAACAGTAAAAATCGTTTAAAAACGTACATGTTGCTTAGACTTTCTTGTTGAGTGTATTTGTCTATTCATTTACTGTCCAACAGGGCCCCAAATTGTTGTGTGCCTAGGAGCCGATATGGCCTAAGACAGCCCTCATTTTTTGTAAAAATAAAGTTATATTATAAAAATCTTTAAAAGGACCCCAAGCTTTTTTACGATAAAATGTTTTTTTCTTTTGGAACTAATAAAACTAATTTCCTACTTTTTAGTTCAGCTAGTTACAAAAGCGTGTTTTTTAGTTTTTTTAAACCATTTTTTTTGCAAGTGTAGTCATCAACGATGATTATTTTTTCATTAAGACTAAGCAGTAACAAGTAAGTAAGCCACATATGCTTCAGCACACGCCTCTTAGACAGCAGACACTACCGTATTTTTAGGTATAGAATAACCCGTTAATCCTAAAGATCGTGATCAAAATAATCGGCCAAATCAATAAATCAAATTTTTGTAATTCGACGTTTGGAAGTGGGTCAAAACCACGTTCGAAGATTCCGTTACATACATACAAACATAGTATATACATACCGAGCTATAAAAGCGTGTTAAAAAAAGAACTTTTTGTAATTTATAAAGTATAAACTCTAATCCAGCCGAAGGCCGCATGAACCCTTGGGTAAGTTCAATGAAAAGAAATTAGTTAAGCTATCCCGAAATATGCACATGAGAAAAACCCGTTAATTCCTTCTAATAAAAATACCACTCACACACGTTTTTATTCTATTTTTGTACAACTCCTTTAAACAAGCCGCATTGTCAAAGGCTGTCCCTAAATAAGTTAAGGCCACATTGTGGGCATACTCCTCAAAGCCGCAAACACCGTAACTTTAAATTGGGCTACAATAATTCAGCTGCGGTTTAAACTTATTTGGTAATCTTAGCAATGTTCTCTGTAATTCGTGTACTTCGAGACAACTTACAGTGTATATAAGTACAGTCGACAGCAAAAATAAAGTTCAAGACGTCCTTTAAGAGCCACTTTTGCTATTTTTTTTAACAATATAACGTAATCTTATGACACTGTTATTAATTCCTTATTTCTGCTCTAAGTCAAAGACAATACGAGTATATCTTTATTTAAAAAAATATAGTCTTCTTAGTTGTAGACTAAAGTCATACATCAACACACACATCAGCAACAATCTGTTTTGTCAAATTTGCTCAATACATTTTTTTTATGATAGAGGTGGCAGACGAGCAGACTGGTCACCTGATGGAAAGTGACAATTCAGGAGTCACAAACGCGTTGCCGGTCTTTTAGGAAGGTGTACGCTCTTTTCTTAAAGGTTTGAAAGGTTTTCTTGAAGGTCGTATCGGTCCGGAAAAACAGCAGACGATAACCCGTTCCACAGATTGGTTGTGCGGGGCAAAAAGCGTCTGGAAAAGCGTACATTTGTGTAAAAATAAAACTTCAAATACATACTTCATACAAAAACAATGTAGTACATACATAATTATGTAGGTTATTCAAATGTCTATAATATATTAGAAGTGCCTTGAACTTCTTTTTTCTGATGATGCTATGCAAAAAAAAAAGAATATTCTAAGCTTAAATGTTATGCATAATTACATAAATCTTTACGTTTTACTCATTTAAATAAAACTACTTTAATTAGTGACCTTTGCCATTGACTGTACAATCTTGAACCTATATAATTTCGTATAGTGCTAAATTTGCATAGTTGGTATCATTGTACAATCTTGCGGACAAGTGATTGTTATTCAAATAGTGTTAAGCGGAATAAGCTAGACTGGATCTTTGTTCATAACAAAAAGGACTGCTTCAGTAAATTGAAACAAAAGTTGAAACAAAAGAGATAAAGAAAAATAATGCTTTGGACTACCAGAGCAAATACAGATTTTATTAGAGTATCTTGAAATATGTCTTTATATAATGGGATGAAATGGTCTTTTGCCAGTCATATACGAGTGTATCTTTTAGCAGTGGTATTCTCTAGAAACAGACTTGCGTACAGCGCTGCCACAGCGATTCGAATTTCAAACCAAGTTCATTTAAAATTCGACGTTACAATGCTGCCACAGCGTCGAATTTTACTGCTACCTCTGCTGCTCCTTACGGTGGTTAAAATTGCTTATAGCTCTCATCGGAGCCATAATATGGTCTTAATCTGCAAAGGTGGTTTTTAAAAATGAGGTTCCGAATTCGATTCGAATTTTATACACATAAAATGACATCGTACGTATGCCCGCGATTTTCTTAAAATATATAGAATATTTTATATATATATATTTATATATATATCTACATACTTTCGTTAGACGTTAAGAAAACAATACATCAGCCGAGAACACTAATTAGCATGTTTTACCTCAAAAGGTAAAAAAGGAACCCTTATAAGATCACTTTCTTGTCCGTCTGTCCGTGTGTCACCAGTGATTTTCTCAGGAACGGGTAGAACTAGCAAGTTGAAATTTATATAAGATACTGAGGTCTATGGTCCCTATAAGGTGTATAAAAATCAAGGTCCTGAATCAACACGATAAAAAGATATAGGCAAATTTCTATATTCGCGAAAACATGTAATTTTACCCTTAATTTTCAACTTTTTTTATTTTTCAGAATTTTCTCTTTACTTTGCTATAAGACTTTGTTTTTAACCAAATTTGACAATTCTAGGTCAACCGGAAGTACCCTATAGGTTTCGGGTCGAAAACCTATGTGGTAGTTCCCGTTGACCTAGTATCACGAAATTTGGCAAAAAGAAACGTCTTACAGCACAAATAAAGGAATTCCAAAAAATAAAAAAAGTTGAAAATTAAAATAAATTTTGGTACTTACAAATTTTCGCGAAAATCTACGTAAAATCTGGGTAGGTACGGAACCCTTTTATGTAAAAAATTGGTATTAGCAAAGGCTGCTCGAAATTAGAATATTATAATAGATTCAATTTAAAGTGAAGCATGTTTACATGAATTAAAAATGTATTAACACGGTATCAAAGAAATATTTTCCTATAGACATCGATTTTATAAAAAATCTGTTTAGAACATGATAGTGAATTCACTGCGTGTAAAATTAACATTTGTAATGTCTGTCAAAATAAAAGGACCAAGCTAAACTAATATACATTAAAGTATAACAAGTAGGCCAAAACCTCCTTTCAGAGGTGAGGCCTATGTCCAGCAGTGGACTGTCATGGGCTGTTGATGATGATATAACATTGCATATATTTCTTATATTCCATATGTAATATAAAATTTAAAAATATCGAGGTGCGGATCTAACACTGGCAATAGCTCACTGTCAATAAAGCTGACTGTACCGACCGGACTGCATATAATCGTTTTTCTAAAATGTTTTTTATTAAATACTTATCTGAGATGTCTATCGATCTTAACAGTGACTGCTAAACTAGTTTTCTACGGAGGTAATCCACTGAGGTGATGGATCTTTTTTTTAATATAATGTCACTCTTTCCGTAATCAGTAAGTATGACTGTATATTTTTTTAGTAACAGTAGCAGCAGCAGCAACAACCCATAATAGTCAACAGCTGGACATAGGCCTCTCCTTAGGAAGAAGGTTTTGGCCTACTATGCCCGATGGGTTGTTCTCAACTGTATACCATGGCTTCACAAAACCGGCAGTAAGTAATTCCTTCAATGGTTTTTACTGAGTGAGTGAGGTTATCGGATCCCAAAACTGTAGCTCAGTTATAGCCCAAAGCCTTACGACTAGATATTGGGAAAACAACACTGTGAACTGGAATGAATGGTGATTTATCATTTGATTTTATTGAACTTATAAGCTGTTTTTAGACGATGCACAAAGACCCTATTTCGTCTATTTAACAGTCAATCTAGTAATTATTTTATTATATAGGCAAATTAGAGTCTGAAATGATCTAAAGTCGTAGATTAACACACACAATAGCAACAATCTCTGGTTTGTCAAATAGTTAGGTTTTTTTAAATAAAAATTATGCTTGTACAAAATCTTTGATATACCTGTGCCGATCCACAACCGCCCGTTTCCAAGGGGTTGAGCCTTATGAGAAGAAAGAGCAAACAAACCCATGGCCACTCTTTTGTAATTTACAGATAAATACAATGGCATCATTAAATATACCACAACATTGTTCCGATGTGTGCCAGTATTACCATGTAGGTAGATTATAATAATAATAATAATATTTCGGACATCTTACACAAAACGCCATCTAGTTTCAAACTAAGCAGAGCTTGCAAAATAAAAGCTAGATTGACTGATAGATACCTAAATCCTTTTTTTGTAAATACATACATATTTCATATTGAAAACACCCAAACTCCGAAACAAATAATTGTAGATCATGCAAACATTTGGTCCGCCTCAAGAACCGGAGACCACAGCACAGCAGTGCACACAGACCACAACACTGCACTAGTGAGATTGGAATCGAGGCTATCAGATCAGATTTAACATTATTTTTAAAAAGCTTTGTGCCTAACACGGTCGTTTAACAAATTTGTTGTTTATAATAAAAAAAACACATGTCATCGTATAAGATTGTATTTAAAACATTTCAGAAACATTGACAGGAACTGTACATACAGGGGTTTATGTCTATGATGGTGAGTGGGTACTCCACTTCGGGGAAGTACACCGGAGCGTTCATACACCCACAATCGCATTTGGCAGAGCTTTGGCAGCCACAACCACAATTAGACGAATATTGGCAAGTTGCGGCTGGCGAAGGGCAGTTACATCCACAGTATTTTTCACACGGGTTGGCCGTGGCACATGGGTTGGTCATAGCACATGTATCGCAGGAAGTGGCTGGCAGCATCCACGCGTCGCGGAAGCAGCAGTAAGCGTTGGTGAACTGAAAAAAAAGCAGTAGAAATGACGAGTTTTCAAACTGAAATATTTTTTATTGATTAATAAACCTTGTTACAGCGCTTTCAAACGTCAGTAGTTGTTACAATTGATAAATTTATAATCAATAAAAAAACGAGGCACTAGAATAGCAGGGTTGCAGTATATATAACGAAAAACCTGATCTGTAAATTACTCTTATTTCACAAACTAATATTAACAATAACTATTAAATAGACACTTACCGTACCTATATTTACTTAATGTTATTTATTTACATATTTTATGGCAGAGGCGGCAAACGAGCAGAATGTAACACCGCTCATAGACACCCGCAATACAAGTCTTTGATGTTTGGGCTCCGGTAACCTATCACCGAATTACGGTGAAAAGCAATAAAAGGAATACTTAACACCAGTTTTTTCACCAAACCAAACCAAATCCATCCCAAACAAATACCTGTCTATAAAAAAAAGGTAAAATATTTTTGTAATTCTCACCAAATCCTGTTTGTATCAACCAGACGAAACTAAAAACAATCGTTATATATACAAATTACCTTACCTCAAAGAGACCAATTACGGCCACAAAAATCACAAAATACTTCATTTTTACCAAAAAATAAAGCCACTTAATAGTCTCTATCTAAATATAGTATTTATTTTCGAACTGACAGTAACTTACATCTTCTTTTATATTTCTTTACATTATATATGGTCAAGCACGTGCTAACACCTATGGGTTCAGTACAGTAATTTTTTTAAATATTTTATGTTACAAAATTTGGTTAAAGTATTTCTTTAGTAAAATTATTTAGTAAAATTAAATTTATTTAAAATTTCATCATCACCTGACGTCCATTGCTAGACATAGACCTCCTCCAAGGTTCGCCACAACAACTGGTCCTGTTCTGTACCTGTCCGTACGGTGCGTACCGGCAAACGCAGCGTGGGCAAGCCCATCACAGGTCCAAGGTCACGACCTTGGACCCGTGGAACCATGGAAACCGTTGGATTAAGTGATGGAGATATTTAAAATGTTCATGGTTTATTTTGAGTCTTTGTTTTGCATATGTTCATCAGTCTGACGAAAAGTAAGTATTCATTGTCTTTTGTTTTTAATATAGATAATAAGTTTATGTATGTTTAATTTTTATATTGTGTACACTTCTGGATTTCAACTATGTTAAATTTAATATTTTATTTTTGCACGTTCCGCATCATTCCTACATCACCTGAAGAAAATACCCATCGGCATTAAGTTCGCCTTGGTATAATATAAATGTATTTGTACATTACAGCAATTTTACCAGCCATGCTTCATCCCATATAGGCCGACACGACCGGATTGATACCACGACTTCGCTGAAAGCCAGTGTTAAGCAATTCCTTTGACAAAGAATGACAACGCATTTGTGACTCTTGAGTTGTAGATGGTTATGGGCGGCGGTAGACACTTACTATCATGTCATCAGGTCACCCATCTTTTGCCCTATTCCACAAAGAACAAACAGGAATTCTTTGTTTAGGGAATATGACAATCCCAGTGTCTTTCATGAAGTGTAAGAAAAAAGATTTTGGTAAACTAAAAGGAACTCTAATCACTATCAGTATGATGAAAATATATTACGCAAACACTATGACTTCTGTGTGTCAGTTGGTCAAGCGATAGTATAATTGAATGGAAGACACGTACGTAAAGTACGTTATTTTAATTTACTCGTAAATGTAACATTCAGCCACTGATAAAACACTTTCCCAATATAAATTCGCACATTGAGTAATATAATAAATATGTAGGTACATTGTTCATACAAAGCGGCTTCAACTTCGTGATATTCTTTCGTGTTTCTAACTTTGAAAATGACGAACTTCCACACAACCGTTAATTCCGTATTTTACCCCGTTTGAGATGAAAATTACAAAAATATTAGGTCCTTACATATTAAATTGACGTTTTTTACGGGTGGAATATAAAGTCATTTTTTTTGTTAAATATATTTAATTAATCAAAGTATGCATCGTTGTTATCTATGCACTTTTGCCATCTCATAGGTAGTTCATTAATCCATTTACTAAAAAAAACATGGGGGCGAGAATCGATAAACTCTTTGAAGGCGGTTTGGACTGCCGCATCGGAGTTGAATTTTTTTCCTTGTAAGAAGTTGTCCAAATTCCGGAAAAAAATGTTAATCTATTCGAGCAAGGTCCGGGGAGTACGTAGACATTCCAATTGTAACTCATCTAACTTATTGGTTGTTTGTTGTGCAGTGTGCGGTCTTGCGTTGTCGTAAAGCAGCAGTGGCCTAGAGCGATTGACCAATCTCGGTTGTTTAGCAGCTAGTTCTTCCTTCATGGTTTGCAGTTGCTCCGTTAACGTTTGGCCAGATTTTAGAAAGCTGTAGTGAACGACACTAGTCCACCAAACACTCACAAGTAAAGTTTTTCTGAGACAATTTTCGTTTAGGGCAGGATTTGGGTGGGTCTCCAGTTTTCAAAACTCAAATGTACCAGCTAAATGAATTTATAAATTTGAATTTGGAATTTTTAACCAAAGAGGAGATATTTCAGATCAAAGTGGTCAGTACGACAACACGCTAATTTCATATGTAAGGACCTAATACTTTCATAGCACTTGAGAGAGCAAACTGGAGATCAAAATGGTACACCTCTAACATTAAGGTAGGGTAGTTTCGTTTCTTTAGTTTTTCGTTGGTTTTATGAAGCGTGATGAATAATGATGGGTAAAGATACATTCAATAGCATATTATAACGACGATAAGGTTTCACTGAAAAGAAAGACAACTGTCCGAAATTGAAAAACGATCATATAATATCTACTAACTTTTGATTACCGATCTATCGGTGCAATTCGGCAATTTGTTTCAATAAATCGACCTTTGAAAGGCTGTATTTAGTATCTAATGAAGAATAAACAAACACTGTTTAATTAAGGACCTTTCAACGGCGACGCTGAAAGGTCCGAAATCAGACAGTGTTATGTTGACAAAAAAAATATGTAAGTATTCTATAAGTCAATCTAGCTTCCATAGATGGCGTTGTGTGTCAGATGTCTGAAAAAAATAATATTATTTTTATATTGTTATAATATTTTATTTGTTTTATTTGAGCACATAAGCAACGTGTATATGTTTTAATCTAAATATTTGTATATATTAAAATGTTTACTTGGAAAGTGTACGCTTCAAAAACTCATAGAGTTCTGCACCGATAGAGCTCAAATTTTGACACAATATACAACCCACTTCAAAGCTTTTATATATTTTTTTATGTCAGTATTATTCTCTATTTCTCATTAATACAAGACCAATGTGTCACAGCGACGCGTGGCCGGGCACAGCTAGCTATACATTTAACAAATAGAAATAAATACGTAGTGATGCCGCTGTCAATATGTTCAAAGTTACTACTCTCGTATATTTCACACTAAACTTACAAAAAATTAAAAACTTTAAATAAAAAAAGCGAAAAAGTGGGACTAGAAATGAACGAAATCAAAACGAAGGTAATGACAAACAGCCACATAAACCCTATAAACCTAAATGGGAAGCCCCTAGAGTATGTGAACCACTATGTATACCTAGGGAAACAAATATCATTCGAAGATAAAAATGAAGAACAAGAGGTTGAGCGGCGTATTAATATCAGCTGGAAAAAGTTTTGGTCCATGAAGGAAATCCTGAAAGGAGATTTTCCCCTTCACCTAAAGAAAACCGTCTTATTGTTAGATAGCTGTGTCTTGCCTACTCTCACATATGGATGCCAAACCTGGACGTATAACACCAAAATAAAAACCAAACTAATGGTATGCCAGAAATCAATGGAAAGGAGTATTCTCAAAATAAAAAGAATGCAAAAAGTTAAAAGTGCACATATAAGAAGAAGAACAAAAGTCATAGATGCTTTACAGTATGCTCTAAAACAGAAGTGGAGGTGGGCAGGGCACATAGCAAGACACACAGATAAAAGATGGACATTAAAGACAACTGTTTGGGAAGGACCAACAGGGAAAAGGAGAAGAGGGCGCCCCAGAAAAAGGTGGATAGACGACATAAAGGAGATAGCAGGCAGCGAATGGATGGGGAAAGCCCAGGACAGAGAGGTCTGGAAAAAGCTGGAGGAGGCCTATACCCGAGAAGGGGTTCCGATCAATGGTATTGAAGACAGCAAATTGATCTATTAAATTTTTATTTTTATTTTTAAACATTATACATGAAACAAACATGAAATTTAATTAGTTTTATAATATTAATTTTAATGTGAATAAATGGATGATTTATGTTTGAAAATACAAGCTATATCAATGATTTTTAGATTGGAAATAAATGGCTATATTATTATTATATTTCACATAATACATCACAAAATTAAACTACCCCCATGACTCAGTATAAAATACAAAGCCGTTATAGAATAGCCTATAAATCATTGCCGACATAAAATACAGCTTTTTGTTCACTGAGCTATAAACATCCGAGTGATATGTAGCCTTATCACTGGAAAGACTCTTGAAGTTATATGTTAGCCCAGAGGTTAAACATTGTAATTATCTGTGGATATATACTGAACATAAAGAAATGATTTAAAATTATATTTGGCTATGATTTAAGCCTGTAAGCTACAGAATGTTAATAATAGTAATAAGGCATCTCACACACAGCCGTCTGATTCTGAATTAGACAGAACTTGTACGTCATGCCATCGTAAAGGTCGAAATACTGCAGTATTTTAATAACTTACAATAGTCCACTGCTGGACATAGGCCTCTCCCATTGCATACCACTTAGATCGATTTTGGGCTTCTCGCATCCAGCTTCTGCCAGCAATCTTGCGCAAATCGTCACTCCATCTGGCTTGTGGGCGTCCTACACTACGTTTGCCGAGACGCGGTCTCCACTCGAAAACTCGTTTTCTCCAACGGTGGTCGGTTCTGCGGCTAATATAGCCAGCCCATTGAAACTTCAGCTTATGTTTGTTGGGGTAAAAAAAGGATTTCGATATCATTATTTTATATTCTGACATTACAAAATGTAAAACGGTAAGTATGTAGATAATTAAACACTTGTAGGTTTCAAATACTTTGCAAACTCAAGAGTGCCGAGAATAACATAATGGTAATTTATAAGGTAAGCTGATTCAGTAGTACTTATAACGAAACTTTGCCTTACTTAACGAACTAAATAAAGTTCTAAGTTAGAAATACGGTAGGTTTAGTTAATTATCGTGATTATATTAATGCGTCTGTTTGTCCAAGTCCACGTACTAAATTAGTAAGTAAACTTATAAATCTTGTTCATTAAGAAATAAGGGTGGCAACAACTGTACCGTAACATACCACAAAGGCACTGCAATGTACCTACGGCACATTAATCTAAATATCTAAAACAACCAGTTTATTGTTCTAAAAGGAATATATTATTTTCTATTTTGTGTTTAAGGGAAAATTTTGTTTGGTTAAGTTTTTTTGATGAATTAGGGAGTAAAAACTTAGAAATAAACTTTGATAGAGTAATATATTTATTTGCTGTTTAAAATATTTATGTAGCTTCCACCTGCAGTTTCGCCCATGTGGGTTTCTGTAACCGTGATCCTTTTTTCTCCCGGTTTATATAGCATAAGATTTTTGCGATCTCTTCAACAATACTCGTTATATTTCAGTCAATTTATGTAAAACCCCCATGAATTATAAACGTAAACCTTCCTCAGGAATCACACTATCTATTGGTGGAAACCGTACAAAAATCCGTTTAGTAGCTTTTGAGTTAATCGCGTTCATACAGACAGACAGACAGATGCGGCCGGGGGTCTTCATTTTATAATATGTAAGGATAAATACGATGTTTTGTATCAAGACCTTTAAGGGTAACTTTATACATGTGAATAAGGATAATTACTAGCACGTAGTAAGTGCTAGTGAGAACTGTGACAATTTAATTATTAGGATTACATGCTTTTATACCCTCTCTCTTTTGTCACACTAT